GTACACCAAATGCAGTGGGGGCTCTAACCTGCTCTGGCAGCCTCTTCGTGCCGACATCGGATGCCGAGCCTTGCAACTGGTCCTCGCTGGCATGTTGCAAAACCTCACGGTCGCCTCTTGCCTGCAGAAATGATGCACACGCAGTCTGTCGAACACCGACCTCGCCCATGATTTAGCCTGGCTAAAACAAGATACAGCATTATTGGCAGTCAATTTACGTGGGCTAAGGGCAATCATTCTGCGCACCACATCGGAATCAACGTGACTTAGAGGGGGGGGGAGTGCGAAATGCGTAGGCTGACAATTTGCACCTCATGATTAATTCAGTCACTTCTTCAAGTAAGTGCAAATCGTTTGGACCCAAATCAATCAGCAAGACTGCTCTAAAAACACTACTGGACGGGCGCCGTCAATCTACACAGCAACTTTTTCAAACCAATGCAAAATGCCTGGCCCTAAGTCATCAACAAAAATGGGTTCGAAAACACTACCCCAGCGGTGCCGTCAATCTGCACCTCAGGTTCTATACAAACACTTCTTCAAGCCAGTGCAATTTGTCTGGGCCCTGATCCAGCAACAACAATCACTCTGAAACACTCCCGTACGGGTGCTTGCTCACATCGTGGAGAGATGGCTGAGCGACTACTCCTGCCGCGCCAACGTCATCCACTGGCATGTCCCCTCCTGATGCTAGGGGACGGTCCCCTTCGGTTGGTGGGAATCCCGGATTGCTCTCGACCCCGCCGATAATCAAGAGCTTTTCTGCAAAAGGGCAACGGACAGAATACTTCCGACGTCCATAAACCCCTGGACACATGACCATCAAAGGAGAGCGGCTAAGCAGGAGCAGGCAGCTTTCACCGAGATTTTTCGCGATTGAACACGTTGGAGCGGTCTCCAATTGAGTGTCCTGCTACCAGGTTAAGCAGAACAAGGACCTGCCTTGGTCACTCTTAAATGAATGACCAGGCACGCGCTAGACTTGGTGCCCAGGCTTGACCTCGTGTCCGTCAGAATGAGACCAGAATTGACTCGTCTAGAGTTGGACTTACCAATGAGGTCTCTGCTTTTAGGAGTTGGATCCCACCAGCGTTCGTTTTGCTGCCAATCGGTGCAACCTGTGGAGAAGAGAGAAGGTGTTTGAACCGAGCATGACACACAGAGAACTCGCAGACTCAGCAACGAGCTCAAATGATTTCGAGCTTTCCGAGCATTCTCAGGGTCAACGGGAGGCAGCATAGAGGAGAGCCTGCCAGTCTTTCCGTAGTTGCACTGGCCGCAAAATCCAAGCAGGACCGAATCAAGGATTGTGAAAGTAAGAGGCACATTTCTTCAACAGCACTGTCCAAAGGCTTACAAACCCTCACCCCGACTGTCCTTGAGACGCGCCTCCTCGTCAAGCGCCCGCGCCAGCTCTTCCTTTAACTTGTACACTTCGCAGTCACGTGCCCACTCTGAAAACGGGCACGAAAAACATGTTTTTCAAGTGATAAGCGCTCACATGCAGAACAGGTCCAGGCTTGTGGACGATAGCCATTATGTGCACTTGCAAACTCGCATGTTCGCATGCTTGGACTAGCACAGCTCTAGGACGAGTAATCTGTGCAGAGGACAAACTATGGAGGCTATGGCGCGCCGGCACAACGCAGCATAGAACTCACCTGCTCGGGCCGTCTCAATCTTGAAGCAACCAGGTTTGAACAGGCGATGCACACCGCAAAAGTACTTGAGGTTGCCCGCTTCTTTGCCCCCGCGCACCGCAAAGGTTGCGGGAAAGCTGCACTCTTCGCAGAGGAGACTGTGTGGAACTGCAAGGAAAGCATGAAGACTTGGGATCAGAGTTGGAACACCTGTGAATCACATGTGGGCGTAGAGGCTCGCCTTCTTTGGCATCCTTGGCCATAAACATAGAAGCAAAGTCCTATACGAAGTCCTGTCTTCATACCTGTACATAATTGCATACTTCCTGACCATGAAGCAGTAAGTCCCGCAAAGAACTGAATTCTTCCTGCAAAGGCCTGACCAGGTACATCGAGCAAGCCTGCTCAATCAAGGTGCTGCTCTCACCCTTGTCCGCAAATAGGTAGCTGGCCAGCTGCTCCCTCGCCTTCCTGGCTTTCTTGGATGCGCCGCCAGGTGGGGGCCGGGCATTGTTTGTGGCTGCTGGGCGCGCAGGCGCTGGGCTCGCGGTAGTTCTGCGAGCTCCATGGGAGGCGCTTGCTGATCGCTGCAGCCCCTCCAGATGGGCCTGCCTGGTCGACATCAACACCTTTTCAAAGCCCTGTTGCAGGCCCGCGTCCGAAGTCCCCGCGAGCTCTTTGAGACCAGCCATCGCGGCATGCAGGCTCCCATCCCAGGCGGCCTTTGACCAGAGAAGGCCTTTAGAACCGAGCTCCTCTCGAGCGCGCTGGCACACGGCCCCCGCCACCTTCCGAGAGATGCGGTGGCCTCTCTTGGAGTTGGTGAGGAAGCCTCTGGACGCGCTCGCCACGAGCGCTCTGATGGGTAACGGCGGGACAGCATCATTGCAGGATGCGCCAGATGTGCCCTGCAGGGAAATAGAGTGCCTCAGTGCAGCGAACATTCATGTCACCAGAAGGAAAGCAAGCTGGGTGAATGGCGGCCAAGAAAAGTGCCATGCATGGGCCTGACGATTTGCACCAGCTGGTCTTTACATTTGAAGTCTCTAAGCCAATGCAAATTGTAAGATCCTCACTACATGAACTTCAGAAGAAACGAGGAAAGCGCCCGGCATGGGCCTGACAATTTGCACCAGCTGGTTTATACATTTGAAGTCTCTAAGCCAATGCAGATTGTCAGAACCTCGCTCCATCAAGCACTGAGCACCAGAAAAGTGCCCGGCATGGGGCTGACAATCTGCACCAGCAGGTCTATACACTTCAACCTTCTAGGTCAATGCAGATTGTCAGAACCTCGCTCTAACGCTCCCAGTAAACCCGGAAAGAGTGCCTGGCATGGGGCTGACAATTTGCACCCACTTGTCTATGCAATGAAGCTTCTCAACCAATGCAATTTGTCAGCACCCCGCACGTACAGCACGTATCGCTTCCTTGATCCATGCCATATCTCAGAAATTGACTCTACGCTCCTCCCACACAGCAGAATCTGAGCCTCCGGGCTTGGTGGGCTCACCATAGTGGAAGGAAGCAATTCAGCAGCAGGGGTGCCTTTCTTGCCAGCAAACGGCGAGGTTGCCGCCTCCTGCTGCTGTGGTGTGGTCGTCTCTGCCATCTGCTGCAAGATATGACCAGACAATACTCAGAGGGATCCCTCGCAGTTCAATGACGCATTGGCGAGCAATTGATCTCAGGTGAGGATTGATGTAGGCCATCAGCCGAGATCAGTCCCACTTTGTAAGCACAATCCTGCAAGCCTGCAGGTGTGCAGGTCAGCCAGCTGAAGAAGCGTAAAAGGCTGGGCACGAGGGCTCACCTTGAAACCTGGTGCGCAGCGCCGATGCCCACACGCTCTGCTGTCGCAAAGCAAACAGCCTGCACCAAGATAATGAAGCAATATGCACAGACATGCATGCATGCAAGATGTATTGTTGGATTGCCAAGATAATTACATGTTGCTAAATGGCAGCACAATTGCACGTTCATGTTGATAACACCTGTCAGGCAGACCTCGCCATGCGTCAACGTGCACTGCTTTCACCGCAAACAAGGCCCCTTTTTGCAAGAGCACAAACACTTGGAAGAATGCACTCGAAGCACACAGCACAGGCCCTCAGGATTGCCAAGATAAATGAAAGGCAAATTGCTCTTACCTGAGCATGTCCCGACGTCTGCGTGCACGATGCGCTGACCACAGGCTGCCAGCTTCTGAGCTCGCCAGAGAGCTCCCTCCAGAAAGTGACCCTTTGTTCTTTCGAGAAATGAAGGTGGAGACCATTGCACCCCATCAAAACGAGCTCAAAAAGCATCCAAAGGCCGCCAGGGGCCGCCATTGGGTGCTGCCACCAACTGTGCCAAGTCATCAGATGCTGACTCCCTGCTGACTCAGAGAAGCATCTCCTTGCGTAGAAGGACATTTGGCAGCATACCAAGCGAGTTCAAGATCCGCCGCAGGGTGCCAAACTTGCCAGACCTTGCCATTGCCACCTGTACCTGGTGACCTGGAATCTGAGTCACCTCTAGAATTTTCTGATCAAGAACGCAAACAGCATAAATAATAGCTGACACGCCCCGTGATGAGGACTTCCTAGCCAGGCTCCCTTCCTTCCTTCGTGGATCCTTGCTGCTCTGATGTTTGTGGGGACCTCATGCTTGCTGAGGCCCAGGGCCAGGGCCAGGCCAGGGAGTGCTCTGGTCCGACGGACTCGGAAATGGGGTGGGAACGGTCCACCACAGCGCGGTAATGGTGAGTGCTGGGCCCTTGAGGCAGTGCCGGCTCCTTATGGCTGATAGCTTATGCTCTGGGCGATCTCCCCGGCGGGGTATGCAATGTCACGCCAACTGCAGTCGTACAGTGGCAAAAAACCCTATCCCCACGGCTGCCCTCCCCCCTGGGGAGAGGCGAGCCAATATAGGCACTCGTTGAGTCTATGAAGCAACCTTCTCGGGCTTGCAAAGTGTCGATCACGCACGGACTCTTTATGCTCCAAAAAGGCCTAGCTTGGACAAATTCCTCATGCAACATGTGCAGCTAGCATGAGCTCACGCATCAATGTCACGTGAATATGGTTGCTCATACAAGGGGCATATCCTGCTCGTTGCCCATCTATGTACTCTTTCTTTAGGACTGCCGTCAATGTACATGATTTTCAATCAGTGTTTGCAAAAGACTTTGCCAAGCTTTAGGAGCGTCGTGCAAGGCGGGCTGTGTTCAGAATTAAGACTATCCCCAATCCAATCGAAAATTACTCGCAAATGATTTGCAACGATATTTTTGACGGCATTTACTTGCTACTTGGAGAGATGGAGCCGAAAAGAATCCACCAAAATCGAACCTTTACACGCTTACTTTCATGCTTTGATCCACAATACAGGTATACAACCACACACATGCGTCGCACAATTCTGTATTAAAGACTCGGCCTTCGCTTAAATCTTACAAGTCGATCAGGCATGTAGAGCGAAACCAATTATTGCTTGGAGCCAGCACTTTATCCCTACCGGCCTTACGGCCTCTAGCCGCCTATGCAAAGATAATCTTGTGTGGCTACTTCTCATCTCACGACAGCCTTACAAAGTCTTCCTATGATCTATGAAGAGCACCCCTACTTCTCGTCGCGAGCTACTCGTAGCGGCGGTTTGCCCCATGGAATGCCGCGTCTAAAGCATCTTTCATGTAAAAAAATGGGCCGTAGTACAGCGGAATGAGGGCTGCATCTACAACAGTGATGTTCTCCGAGAGCTCGCTGCGGTCCGAATCAAGGCGGTGGTCCGTCACATACACAATCAAATCTGACCTGCCCTGTTTCTCTTGCTCCGCGTCCATCTCCCAGTTGATCGTGCTGGCTTTCACCTTCTGGGGAGCCCAAACCATTGAGTCTTCCTCTGCTGAACCTGTCGGATTCCTGACCCTCTTCTTCGATTGCACTCTCGTCTGGAATTTTAGGGCTTCAGCTTCCCTACTTCCTGTCCCGCTTTCGCGTTCCCTTGCACGACCGCCGGTGCCCCCCGCTTGTGATGATGACCTCTCAACGGCCCCCGCCTCTGCCACAAGCTCCAGGCTCTCCTCTCCTGCTTCCTCTGGCGCAAATTCTGCGCTTTCTTCCTCTGCCTCCTCTTCCTCCGATGCACGGAAGAAGAAATACACCCCATCCCAACCGTAGTTTCCAGGCCCGAGGTGGGCCCAATTTCTCTCGAGGGTCGCTTCAGACTTCAGCCTGAGCATGTCTTCCTTGTCATATTTTCTCTGGTCCTTCCTTCGCTCCCACCCGCCATTTGGAACCACTATTCTCACCCTTGCCAAATCTTCCGGCAGACCAGGGAACAGCTGTCGAAGCTGCACTGTGCTCCTGTGGAAGAACTTCTTGTACACGTACAGCTTCAGCATCGGAATCTGGAGGTCCGTCTCCTCCCTGTTGCGCCACTCGATGTCCAATGCGTGGAAGATGGGGAGCCACATCTGCCGGGTCATAGGATGATAGTCTGCCCCCGCAAAGAAGATGATGGGGCAAACCTGAACAGAGTACCTCTGCTGCGTCTTTGCACGACGCTTCTGCTTGCCACTAAGCAAAGATACTATCCTCCTGTAGCGACTGACTGGGTCATTCCCGTGGGCCTCAGCATCGTCATCGTCAACAGCTTCGCTGACTGCTCCTTCGTTCACTCTGTCCCTGTCTTGTGCGCGCGGTTTGACGGATGGAGCTCCTTCTCCGCTCTCCCACCCCCCATCTTTCTCCTGCGCTCTTGCCCGCGGACCTCCTGCCCTTCCTTGCTCCTTTCCTTGGCTCCTCGATTTGTGGATTCCAGCCGCCGCTGGATCGCCACCTACTAGCACTGCCTGGCCGCTTGCTCCTTCTCCTCCTGCTGCATCGGACTCCCTTGGCGTGAGGTCGACTGACCCAGCCGAGTCTCGCCGACCTTCCTGAGCTGCAAAAAGACACCCGCATTAAGAGATGTCCCATTCACTTCAAAGCAAAGCAGACTCCAGCTAAGCATACCCAGGAGAAAGCGAGGTTGTTAGCAAGTCACAGGGCATGCGATTAACAAGGAAAGACCAGCAGGCAACGTCCTGATATGTGGAAACGATGCTGAGACATGAACCCTCATATTCCAGACGAATCATAGTCCTATCGGACGGTCCAGCTCGATGCGTCTGCTGCATTGAGATTGCTCATTAGGTAAGAACTGTGAGCAGGCGCACCCCTGCTCAAAATGCTGCCCAGACTAATGTGCTTCGAAGCAGACGCCTCAACTTGTACTCAGCAGGTGCTCACACACCAATAGTTCGCCTTCCTTCACTTCTCAGCCCCCCACGCAACCAGAATTGCTCACTTTGGGGCTCTTTCTTCTCGATCCCGAGGTGGATGAAGCCGTCGCTCTCCAGCATTTGCCAAGTGATCTTCTCCTTGCTGTCCACAAAGGCGTCTCTGAACACCGTCTCCCCCGTCAACCCATGCGCAAGCATGCTCTCCATCATCTCGCGTTTCACTGGATCTTCCTTCCAGCGCCGCATGTTCGTGTCGTCTTGATAAGCGTCCAGCACCTCACGCAGCGCCAATTTGGGGTTGATGTTGGCCTGCAGAACTTCTCGCAGTTTCCCTGAGAGGAGGAAGACAATCTGATCAGCAGCTTTCAAGCTGCGGAGCAAGTGGCCAGGATCTTTACAGATCAGAAGAACCGAGAGAGTAAGTGGGCCCACCTCCTTTACAACTGTCTCCACTTGACATCGGCTTTATTGCTTGCTAGAGACTCACGTGGACAGACAGAAGAGGTTTCCACGAGAATCCTGGATCCAGAACCAGCAACCAGGGCAGTAGAGACTACATATATGCATTGGCAACAGGTTCAGCTTATACCTCGCACAATCTAAGATCTGGCCAGCCCAACGGACGTGCTAAGAAGAGTGGTTGTATACGCAAAAAATTGGCTTGGGAGCAAGAGTATTACAGAGGTACAGAATCGCACCCAAGTCGAGTTTCCTGATAGACTCGTTTGCGTCTCCACCCGACAGTGCCACTAACAGACGATCCAACGTCCGCGGAACACCCCCCAAGAAACGGAGACAGGCCTTGAAGGTCGCCGACATGTTGCCCTTGTGAATGGGGATGTTGCTCCGCCGGAACAGGTCTAGAGAAATGGACTTGAGACTCAAGTAGGTCTGGATGGGAACGTGCAGGTCCAGGATGCCGGCTTTCTCGGATGCAGTCAAACTGGAGAGAGGAATAGAGGTTAGAGTGAGCATCCATTCAGCAAAAGGAGGCAGAAAATGCACTCAGTAGCATTTGACCCACCAGGCGATCCACACTTTCGATCGAGGTGCAGGAGAGAGAGCTGATTCATTTCCAACTCGTTCGGTCCTTGTGCGAGCCTACATGTGCGAAGAAGAGCACGTTTTTCGCGGGTGCCATCAAATGCACATGCATCACACAGGCCACTTGATGAGCGAAGTGACAGAGAGGTACGTGCAACACCTGAGAGTCGTTGCTGATGCCCTTGTACTCGCAGCGAGGCTGATGGCAAACGTTCGCCCATGCGTGCCCTGCCTACACTGCAGGGTATGGAGTCTCTGTCGCAGGCGGGCGAAAGCCGACATAAGGTGCTGGCCGATAGTGGCGTCGTTTTTGGTTTTTGGGGTGTGATTGATGGCCTCCAGCTCATCGAAGGTGAACACGATGAGAGCGTGCTGGTCATCAGCCAAATTGGCCCTCCTTCTGATGAAGTCGAGCACCTTCATCGAGCTGAGTTTCTCAAGCAGGTCCTCCTCCTGCTCCATGAAGGTCTCCCAGAACCGCTCGTAGTCCCTGATCGACTCTTCTCCCCCCCCTTCTTCTTCCGTGCCTCGCTTCCCCCCTCCCCCCGCTTTCGCTAGGCAGGCGTGCAGCAGGCGCAGGGCTAGCACTCTGTCCCAATCCTGGTCTCTCTCTCGGAGCTTTTGCTCGAACGGGTGATACTTCCCTTGATCTGCAGATGAGAGATGGAGCACGTTGATCCAGAGGGTCAGACTCTTTTTCTGACGCATCGCCAAAGCAGATCTCCCTGACTCCATTGGGCCCCTTCACTACACATCGGCATGACCCTGCCTACAGGGCTGATGCAAACAACGTGCTTCGGCTGCTCTGTAGGTTTGTCAGACCAAGAGTTTTAGCGTGAAAGATGGATTGAAACTTTTCGAGACCAGACAGAGCTAAGGAGGACATATGCTTTGGAGCGCCGTGGTGTAAGAACAGCAACTTCCGTTGGAAGCGAAGTAAGTTGGCTCTTGGAGAGTGAGCAGTGTCAGATCAGCGTACTTTTGATCAAGACAGGTGTAAAGTTGACGCAAGGGGAACCGCACCTGGGTTCTGGAAGGACAGATTGAACACCAGCATCCTCTCACGGCTGAGGCACGTGTGCAGCGCTTTCAACAGTCGTGGATTCTTCTCGAAAACCCTCCTCTTGTCCTCTTCGGAGAGACTCGTCACTAGCTTATGGAGGTGGATCCAGCTTTCTTGAAGCACGGTCGACTTCCCCAGGCCAGGGCCGGCAATGATCCGTCCGAGATGCAGAGCACTCTCAATCTTCTCTTGAGGCGCCACCTCGTTGCTGTCAAGCCGCTCAACCAGGGCAGCAATTGTGCTGCAAAACAGATAGGAGGTATCAAGAGCCGCTATCACCCTTTGGAGCTCTTGACAACCACTGTTTCCAACCCTACCTCCTTGGCCGAAGTAGAATACTGAGATGCTGGACAAGCACAAGTTTCAAACCTTCCAGATCCCGAGAATCTGCTGGCGAACTGTCCCCACACAGGTGCACCACTAAGTGCGGACACTTGGCAGAAGACTCTCCAAATTCTCCAATCAGTATAGCACTTTTACAGTAAGTCAGCTCGGTAGACCTACTTGGCGTCAGCTGAATGAGGAGATAAGGCAGAGACCTGGCACGTGCCGTTTCAAAGGTTTAGATGGCGAGCTCACTTTAAAAGGTCAACCAGGAACTCGTTATAGCCCGCCAGCTTGAAGCGGCTCCCAATGTTTTCCACCAGTCCGTTGGCCCCTGGTTGGATTCTGCCAACTCGATTGTTTGTCAGTTCTTCCATCCTTCGACCAACATCCTTGTCGTAGAGACCTCCAAAGAGCTCTGAGAGCCGCTCAGCTGGAGAGAAGAGAGTTTGTCAGGAATCAACAAGCAGCAGCAAAGGACGACCCATGCATCGAAGACTTGTCCTTCTGATGAATGCACCACTGTATCAAACACAAGAGGTTGCGAGAGATGTGCATAGATGAGAGCATCCTCTGAAGCTCGCCCAAGTGAAGTGCGACGAGGAACTGTAGGCGGAGCGTAATTTCTACGTACAAGCCGCCTTCCAGCGTCAGCCTCTTCTTCCTCTGAAGAACTGCGTTCAGAACGATAAAGCAAAGCTCAACAATTCCACAAAATCGTCTCTGACTCTGCCGTCCTTTGATAGACTTAGAGCTCTGTCGTTCTTGGCCTTGCGTGTTCTATCCTCAAAATAGACGCTCTCATTGTAAATTCAACCGCGGGCTTGATGACTGACCTACAAAGTGCGGACTGGCCTGCTTGCGCTTCTTGGACAGCATGCTCTCCTCCTCCCACGTCCGATCTCCAGAGGTCGGCTGCAATAGAATGCACTCCGCAAGTTACCGTTCTATGCCCGAAGAGGTGCAGAACCCCGCACAAGCACCTTCAAAGCTGTCAGGACTCGCACAGTAACGCAGCAAACTCTCTTCTATTACACCAGCAAGCAGGAAACAGGGACACTACTGTAGAAGTGACTGGAACTTGAGATTCAATTGAAGGCATGAGGGAGGAGGCCCTTCCAGCTCTTGCGTGCGATTGACGTAAGAGAGAATTTTGGCAGAGTTCACTGACCTCCAGATGTGTTGAGACAGCCACCGACTTCTCCAACGCCAGGATGTCACTCCGTGCACCTGCATAGAGGCACTCGCACAAACTTAGCCAAAATAGAAGCATAGCTTGAGAATGCAGCGGCTTGTGGGCAGCGTCACTACTAGGCGAAGGCGGAACGCAATCACATCACTAAGAAATTCAAGGCGGACAAGAGGCAGGTATGCGGTTGTTGCTAGCTTGCTTAACCCCTCCATGGTTAGTTCGTCAGGTGCCGGAAAGCAAGGCGGCAAGTAGGGGGAAAAGGTATGTCCACCTTTCGAGCCTGTCACCTTTCTGACAACAGAAGTGCCGGTTCGAGGTTTGGTTTGACCTCAATTGTCTTCGACTAAGGCCATCGACAGTCAATCCGACTCTGCTTTGCGGTGTTGGTAATCATGAGCACTGAGCAAGCTACAAACAACCTCAACAAGCACTCAACAAATACATGCCGCGCCGCAACGCCACAGAAGATGATCGGCAAAACTCACGACTCTGGTTACTTGTGTCAGCATCCTGCATCTCCACATCGGCAGATGGGCCCACTCCTGCATGCTGACTCTTCTTTTCAACTGCAGCAGAAGAATGAGCAGATTAGGGTCTCGAATATGTCAAATCCGGAGCAGCGAGCAAACAAAAGAACAAGCCTTCTGCAGACTGCACCAGGGTGACGGTTGAGAAGCACCCTGCATCTCATTGTTCACAGCTGATCTGCCGTCCAGCGCACAGCAAGCGACTTTCACTCCAGAGTAACTCCACTTCTGCAAGGGAACATCCATGCCTAACAGGCACTAGTGTTCTCAGCAAGAATGAGAGATTAGTGGATATATTGCCAGACACCACCTGCCAGTCAGAAGTGTCCTCCCTATGCCATCTTCCTCGAGCTTCCTTGCCGCTCCATGCTGACAACCAACACTCACACTCGGATGAATCACCATCGGATCGATGTAAACCTCTGGTCCTGCTCTTCAAGCGGACCGCTTAGCCTACTCCACTGATCGGGGGTGCACTTTAGCAATTCCACAGAGGGAACTGCTTACCTGGAATGCTTTCGAGAAAAACACTCCAGCCATCTAGCCATCCCCCTTGACAGACCGAGACATGCCATACAGCAGCATTAGAATGCTTGATTCTTACCCCAATCTCAATTGCTGGTCTCTGACAATTTCCGTCAAAGCTAGCCTACTCGATCAAAGAGGGAGCTGCTCACCTGGAATCCCCAAGAGAAACAAATCCCAGTTCCCTGACCATTGCCCTGTGTACAGGCGTGCCCACAGGTACAGGGCGGTGGTGCGGTGCTCGATTGTGGACTCTCTCCAACTCTCCAAGGTGGTCATCTTCTCTGCCAGGAAACTCAGCAGCGGAGGGTCGATCTTTGGATACGCTTCCTGCCAATCTCGCGCAATCTGTGGGGGAAAGACATTGAAGGATCAGCACAACAACGCACACGCCGCTGTTCTGGTAGCATGAACACGAAGAGAAGTTGCTCTGTCATGCTTGAATACAACTCGTGCTGCTCTGGCCCTGAACTGCTGGCGAGACATCCCCTTGTCAACGCTCACCTCCTCGGGAGAAGGTCCAGGGTTTGGTTCGACACCGCCAATGTTCAAAAGCGTCACTGCACGGAAGGATGCCACGGTCAGATGCTGCATATGCGACCTGCTGGCTTCATCCAAAAAGCAATCAGCAAATACCAAACACAAGTCAACAGATAGGACGTATTAGGACAAGCCCAAGTGCTCTTCAGGTGTTTGCATGTTCAGATGAAGCCCTACTGCTTTCCAACAGACTGCAGATCCAGAGTTGCTATCAAAGTGCCTTACCTATCAGCGACTGGCTCATGGGCATGGAAGCCCAAACCCCCTTTTTTTGAGAAGCTGCAGGGGAAAACAGCAAAGAGTTGGATTGGGATTGTTCATGATTTGTGTGTTAAATGCACAGCCAAATGATTCATAGCGCATCAGAGGCATGACAGAGACCTTACTGTCTTGAACTGTATACAAGAGAACAACCAACTGGTATAATAATAAAATACAAAAACCCAAATTCTAAAGAGTAGAATGTAATAATCATCATAGTACATGGTCTCAAAGAGCTGCAAAGTTGGCCAAATCGCGAAAGATGTACCATCGAACGCTTCTTCTTTAGTGCGCAACTTTTGATACGCCGCTAGGAGCCCCTCCAGATGAACAAAAAATAGCCATCTGAGCCCAACGACTCCAGCAAAAGAAATCTCGTTTTCTTCACCTCGTTGCGTGACACCTGCCAACGGTTTGTAGCTCGGGGGTATGCAAAGTAATGATTGGACCTTTGGCTTGGTGCTCACCTGCTGATCCTGCCCATGACCAAGGAGGGGCAGATGATCCTGACCCTTTCCTCTCCTGCTTGCATTTATGACAGGCGGAGTTCGCCTTCTGCAGCGCCTCCTCCCGAGCCTGAACCCATGCTGCAATGCGAAAAGGGCATGATCAGTCCAGAGCTGCAGGTGCAGCGGCCATGCCAAGTATCAAGGTCAACCTTGCCTCCTCTTGCACACAAGCGGGGTGTGTGCGTCTCCTCTTACCCGCTCGGTCCCTGTCGATGTGAAAACAGCCCTTTGTTGGGCCATTGAACTTGCAGAAGTATCGGACCTTCCCTCCGTTCTTGCTGCCGCGGAGCCCAAACTCTGCGATCCTGATGCACTCGTCGCAGTGAACGGCGTGTGGGTCTGAAAAAGAGATGCAGGTAACGAGAATCAGGGACCAAAAAAACCCAACACACCTGCCTTCACGAGACCGGCCACCTCTGGCACTGTACCAAGAATTAACGTAACATGATCTTCAAAAACAATTGGCCAGAACTTGGTACACTTCCCTGCGCACGCCCAGTCAAATCACATCAAGCTCTGCCGCCATTATTTTGTTCAAGCAAAAGTGGTTGAAACCTGGTACAAATCCCAAGGCACACCCAGCAATGCCATCAACTTTCCATGCTGTACCAGGAAGTGACCTGTTACTATCTGAAGAAAGATTTGGCCAGAATCTGGTACGGTTCCCTGCACAGGCACAACCATGCCACCAACTTCTGGCGCCGTACCAGGACAGTGGCCCATTATGATCTCAACCTGGCCATGCTTGAAGGAGAGACAATTGAACAGGCTTTTGCTCACCCTGTTCTGCACCACATTGCACAGCTTCTCGGAGTACCTGTGCATCATAGTGCTTTGCTTTCTCGTCAGCAGCACTTGAGTCACGACCTCGTGGGATCTTGCCAGCTGGCTGCTCCTGTGACCTGTGGGGGCCGGGTGGTTCAGCTGCCTCAACCTTACAATCCTTGGAGCTCTGGCCTCGCCGGCGACGAGGGACCGGTATTTCGGCTGTTTGAGCATTGAGAGCAGCGAACAACCTTTCCTGCTTTTCAACGCTGATTGAGATACGCTCTCTGTAGTCTGCGGCCCGTGCATACCGAGCTGCCTGACATTCCCGGTGGTCTGACTTCGTCCAACCAATAGGACGACTTCTTGCCATTGTCTATCAAGCACTTACATCTACTGATGACGGCTGCGAGGACACAGAAGCAAGGAATGGAGGATTGCTCAGAGTCGAGCTGAAGCAGAGTCGCAGGACCCTGAAGCAGATCTATTTTAAAGCAAACGCCTGCGTCTGTCTGTTAGAATGCGACTTCCAACTGTGCACAGCTTGCCGGCCTTCAATGTGATCGGGAACGGTCCAATGTGATGCGGTAACGGCACGCCAGGTACAATGTGGCACATAGCCTATGCTACAAGCGGCCTCTTCCCGGGTGCCCGGTAGACTGACCGGGCTGGGTTGGGTGGGAATGCAAGGTCGCGCCAACTGGGCGGGCGCGAGGCTACAATCCCACCCAACCTAGGGTTTTCATCGGGACCGTCCGTGAGAAGGACGCCCTTCCGTGCACCGTCCATTCGAGATGTCTTTAGAGGGATCCCCATGCACATAGCGAGTGCCCGGTTTGGCCTAGCTTCGATGAGTCGGTCACCGTCGATGGACGACAACTGACGACCAGGCAAAAATTGACGGCTCCAGATGCTTTGTGCTCGTTATAGCCCGTGAGCGATTATGTGATATTGAGATTCAGACCTTCGAAGGACCCAAACTCGTACAGTTCAGGTGCATTGCTGAGGTGCTGAGCCTGGGCTCGCTTCTCAACTTTCTTAGGTCCCTGTGCCACAATGTAAGGCCAAATGTCCCTCAGATCTCTACCATCGTTTGCCAAATATCTACGCCTTCTCCTTTCCTTCCCGTGAGCAAGTGGGAAAGTGGACTGTGGTAGGTCGGCCGCAAGAGACATGTCAATCATTGGTTCTGCAAAAAGAGCCTGAAGAGCCGCAGTGAGTCAGTAGATCATTTAGCTTGCAGTTTGTACTCAGTCAAGTTGCATTCGATGGAACCTTCAACGGTATTTGGGCCGCCGCACTGCCTCTGACATGATCTCAGCTCGGACTTGGAACCTGGAAGTAAGCCTGAGAGCTGGAACTTGCGACAAATCCCCATGATTCCTCAACTTGCACTACTGGCAGCATACAAGCTGAGAAGCTGAGGACACACTGACAACGACGGAAAAGAGGCAGCTTCGATGCTGATGACAGCCTATACCTTTGGTGCTGATGACAGCACATCCCGTCACAGTCCGGCAGTGATTGCGGGTTTGAATGCCAGCATCTAGAGGTGAGTGGCACACCTTGATCCATATACCATATGCATTCATGCAGTTAACCATAGCACAGTGATAGCACGTCTCATTGAAAAGCGTACTTAACCTGGCCGCGCTGCACATGTCGAATGAATTCCAGTGCAAGTTGTCTGCTTGGTGCTATCAACAAAAAGCCCCCAGAAAAGCCGACGGTATGATCCTATGGTGGCAGACGATTTGCATGGGGTGTTCTTTACTCATAGACTGAATTCCGGTGCAAATAATCTGCTTGG